GTGTGTGTGTGTGTGTGTGTGTGTGTGTGTGTGTGTGTGTGTGTGTGTTGCATGTGATAACCTCAGCAACTAACCATCTGTGATGTCTGAACTGAATTTTTATTTTCCATTCGTTAAATTTATTTGATTCTGTCATGCCTCTCAGGGTTCCTTGGTTTCAGATGCGGAAGCAGTTCTTTAGCTCTGGTGTCAACAAGAAGTCTCTGGATGCCATTGAAAGGGCAGCCTTCTTTGTAACTCTAGACGATGAAGAGCAAGGCATGAGGGGTGATGACCCTGCAGGAAACCTGGACCGCTATGCCAAGTCTCTGCTTCATGGAAAGTGTTATGATAGGTAAGGTTCAAGATACTCTCCAACTTTTAGATCTACTTAAAGTAGATGCAGGCAATATATAAACAGTATTTGTGTGCTAAACATCTATGTTGTATCAGAGTTAGGATTTTATTGACTTTATTCACCCATGACTCCACTTCCTCATGTCTAAGTGTTCATTCCTCCTTAAGTAAATTTGAAAGATTCTCTTCAAATCTTGGCAATAAAATCAGCAATTTKTTTATTGTGGCTTATGCTAAACACCTAATATTCTGAGTTAAAATTACTGACAGTGAGTTTTACCACTTACTTTTTTTATTCTGTTTTAGCAACAAATCACATGAAGGGGGTGGTGTGATGGTGAAAAAAACGTCATCAGCACAATAAATGAAAAAAAAATTATCATTGAATCACGCTTCTTACTATTTGACAGTTAGTCTTCCATTTTTGTCACAATTTTCAATTTGCATATTTTCCCACAACTTCGAAAAACTCTGGCAAAAGGTGCATCATATTGTGTGATTTCATTTAGAATAAGCTTCTTTGAGCTTTGGCAGACGTTGGTAGCTTTTTAAGGGACATCCAGTTGTCTCTGGTTTTTGACTTCCCGGAGTGCTGACATCCAAACTCTTGTTGACTGGTAGTAAATGGTAAATGGATTGAACTTACATAGCGCCTTATCAAGTCCACTTGGACCCCAAGGCACTTTCCACTTCAGACATTCACCCATTCACACACACATTCACACACTGATGATGGTAAGCACCAGCCACAGCCACCCTGAGGCACACTGACAGAGGCGGGGCTGCAATGCACCGGCGCCACCGGCCCCTCTGACCACCATCAGTAGGCAAGGTGGGTGAAGTGTCCTGCACCACAGAACACCACAACTGAAACGGCTGGACGGGGGATTGAATCAGCAACCTTCCAGTTCCAGGAAGGCTCCCCTAACCACTCCAACACAGCCTTCCCAGTAATAGCCAGTCTGACCAACTTTATGCATTTGTAGGTCTTTTTTTCTCAACCTAAATTAAAAAAGTAAATTCCAAATAACTTTTTAGAGGAAAAAAAATAAATGCAATTCTGTAGAAATTTACTTGATCCTATTACTATTTATTGTGGCCACTTTTAGGAGGAAATTATAATTTATTTTATTCAGTGCAAACATTATATCCTTGTTCTTCATTGTGCTTTTTTTCCTCTGTTCTTTTTTTAGGTGGTTTGATAAATCTTTTTCTGTGGTGATCTACAAAAATGGGAAGAATGGGCTGAATGCTGAGCACTCATGGGCCGATTCACCAACAGTGGCTCACCTTTGGGAGGTATGATTGTCCTTATTTGCTGTCTTACACTGAAGTTGCTCACAAGCATTTATCCTAAAAGTTAGTAAGTTGTAGTGCACATGGCACACAGTTTGAATGTTGTGGACCGGATTTTGGTGAAGCCATTATAGTCTTGTTTACAGAGAAAACCTTAGAGTTAAGCAGCAGGGCTGATCAACTCCTCTGATTAATTTGGTGCAAAAGGTGGGGAAAAATAACAGGTCTTTTCAGCTG